TAGTTCGATTATTGTTGGAAATAATTATTCAGTTCTGCACCGCAAATTATGTAACAAAGCAATTTTTCAATACCAATCCATAAAATGATTTGTGTCCTTGTCCGTGGTAAGAAATCGCTGTAATAGTAAGAAGGATTGCACATCATTGATCTGTTTCATACTGAATAATAATTAATTCAGTATAAACATATTGTATACTTCATTTTCTATTCCTATTCAGTATTTCTTATATAAAATAAACACGAACTTACAGCTCGGTCAAAGTTTTCAAGATTCCACTTGTTTTGTTTACAGCACTTTTATTGGCTTTGCTGTTAATTTACTTTGCCCATTAATTACAAATTTATCAGTWTATTTCTAATTATGTCAGGCTAGTTTTGCACTGCTTAGATTTTTTTGTAAATCTGGAAAGCAAAACCTGAGTTTATCTTAGTGCAATGGACTTTATGATAGTTCCCTGCACTGCAAGACCGGGCATATATCTTACTGCCATCAGAGTACAACCAGGCGACTTGGGACTGGTGAACGTACTTGAAACCAACGGTGTCACCGTACTGGATGGGTTTGCCTTCATCGGCATTCTTGGCAAAGATTTGGAATTTGGCTTGATTCCTGTTGAGCCAATATCGTCTAGGCCAAGGAGTGCTCACTCCCCAACTGAAAGTAAAAAAAAAACATGAACAAAAACAACAAAAGTGAAGTACTTTCAGTTAGGACTATAAAATATCAAAGCAAACAAAACTAGAAAAATATAACACTATCTTTCCAATAATTAATAATTCTTCCCGTATCGTTTTTTCAGCGTCATATATATATGTGATCACTAATGGCAGTCATACTGATTTTTTCAGTAAACTGTCGTAGGTTTTATGGTTGAAACCGACTTTTCTTTCACGACAAAGAAGTATAAGTCACTGATTTGCAAGTGTACTTACGTTGCACGACAAGGACCTGAAGTGGACGTGGAGCAATAGAAATACCTCGCCTCACCAAAAAAAGGGAATGACATGACAACATAGTCACCAGCCTCTACCACCTGACCGTCTGGTTTACCAAGTGTTCGTATGCGGAAAACCACRGTTTTACAGGACGAGAACTTGGAATTTAGCATGACTTGTCCTCTAGGGCAGGTTGACGTGGTGCAGGACGCTGATTTAGAACACTGCATCCATTTTGGTGTACCACTAGAACGGTAGAGTTTTAGAGCAAACAGGTCACCGCTGAGTATTGTGGGATAGCGACGATCTGAAAAAAACAAAACAAAAACAAAATAAACTGAATATTTTTTCTCTTGAAAATAAGTACAAARTATTATAGAACTAATTATTACTTATCTTATAAATTTTGTTATAGATTAAAAGATTCTTGATCCAACTTACTTTTCGTAAGTCCAGCCCAAAAGGTTTCAACGGGATCCACTTTAATTGTACCAGTCCCTGTCAAAGTAATCTTGGAGTTGCTGAGATTGATGGTCCCTGCGAATGACGTGACTGCAAATCCAGCCAGTACGAGAAAAAAAGCGAAAACAGTCTTGATTGCCATGTTTGGAAGCTAGGTATCAGTCTTGAGTTGTCTTCTCCTTGTGATCGTGGATTTAACTAGTAAGGTGCAGAGCTGCGGTATAAGTGGTAGATTGGAGCGGATATAGCTATCAATGTCATGTCAAAGAACATTAGCGGCTTCTGCGATCCAAAGTAATGGTTGAGCAGTGCAAAATAAAAAAGGAAAGAGTCGATACTTATGGAGGACAACCCATTTTCCGTGTTGTATTGTGTCGTGGGAATTCCATTCGCGCTACAAGGTACAYGAAGCATTGAAAACACCACGAAGACAGCAAATACACGCTTCAAAATCTAAAAAAATCATAGTAATTTCTATATTATTGCAAAGTGGATTGGTCTTTATCGGTTCTTTTTCATGTTATTTAACTTAGGTATTTATTGATTATCCTGTGAGGTCGACCATCACGATTTGTTCTAGAAGTTTGCATTTTTCCAAATATAGCACCTTTGTTCAGCGGTTTCCGGTGTTGTTACGTAGAACACGGAAAAACTACACTGCAGACGATTTTTTTTTCCATTGAAAT